AGACATCTCACACCTACTTTGCACAGTGTGAAGTATTCTAGAACAATTGAAAGGTAGTACTTTTTCTTTCAATGGATAATTATGTTGTCACCAGATGCTGTGGTTGTCAAACTGGAGGTTCCAAGAGCAGTCGTACAAACTCATGGAAAGAAAATCCAGCTACAGCAATTAAATGCAAAAATATAATTGCTGGCTTTTAAAGTACCTAAATTGCAGATACTTGAAAACAGAGAGAAACCTCAGGGGAAGCATGCCTGGCCCATATAAAGCAGGCAGAGTTTGCTAACTTGATTGACGTTTTTTGTAGCTTCGAGCATTTGTCTATATGTTCTTCACTAAATTGTCTGTATTGATGACTTTAAAGAAATCAATGAAAATTAAATTAAAATAATTGTTGATATTCCTCATCTCTTAGCTCCATTTGAACTGATGTAACACAGAGCTAGTTTCTAAGCAAGATTTTGCAGAGGATAGGAATAAGGCTTCATACCTTTGTTTTCTCTGTTGAAAGAAGTCTCTTTATATATTTATGAGCATTTAAGGCAGAGTGCTGCTGAAAGCTCTTATATCACTTCATAAAGTTGGATATTTTATTATGCAGATGACAGCTGTTTGTTAGTCCCTCTTTTCATAAAGGCTCTCTAACATCAATTGTCAGTAGCTCAATAGACACCAAAATAGTTCCTCATGTTTACTTCTGCTCAGAAAAAGTATAGTTGTGCCAGAATACAGCTTGCTGAGAAACAGTTCAGCACAGCTATCCAACAGCTAGAAATCTAAACATAATCACACATGTGACCAGTGTATGCATCCCTACAATGCTCATTGCTGCACAACTCTAACAAGATCAGTTGAATTGCAAGTATCTGCTGCTGTGCTAGCCCTGTAATTACTCAAACCTGTCAATGTTATGGAGTTGGCAAAACTTTTTCTTGTATGAGAGCCATACAAATTTCTTTTCTGTGCACCAAGGACTTGCAGTGTGTTATGCTTATGGCCATGAGGATTTTGGTGCACACCTCGGTGTCTCTTTCACTGTCTGCCAGACAGCCTTCCTGGCAGCCAACAACCCTCAGGTCAGTCCTGCCACTTCTCCTGACTTCAGTGATGTGTGGCCTTCACATGGGACATCCTTTCTTTCAGCTGCAGAGGGCCTTTGAGTGGATTGGAGGTCTTTCCTGTGTATTCAGCTGCTGTGCCATTCTCTCCAGAAATGTTTCTTTCCGTGTGCACCCCTAACGCCTCAGGCAGTTCTTTCTCCCTGTATATTTGGACCCTTTTCTCAGTGGAGGATTATAGTTTTTATTTGTCTGCTGCTCCTCTGAAGAAGATTCAGGAAAATTAACACTTCAGTCCACAAATTCCTTTGACTCATCTTCTGTGCAGCAGTTCATCTGGCTATTTTTCCTAATTAAAATAGGTGGTTCTGTGCAGAGATGCCAGCTGTGATATTAAGCTGTCTTTGTCACAGCAAGAGGCAGGACACTTCACAAACCTTTGCTTAATGATTTGGTTGTATTTTTCCTTGTGAATTTCCCAGGTAATCTGTATCAAGTCAGTGTGTTAAGAGATACACTTAATGTAATTATTTCATTAATATGTATGTTTGCTATTTATATTTGGCTTATTGCTGACTTTTGGCTGAGACTAAGCATAGCAATTAATGTGTTTGGGGTAGGAAGTTCTCATCCCCTTCTGAAGAAAATTGTGATAAGTGACAAATCACATATATTTGAAATTCTAGTTTCGGTAAATGTATTGCAACCATGGTCAGTGCTTCAATGGGCAGTCAAGTTCAGGGGCACAGCATAGCTGTCTGGTTTTATATATGGGTTGAAAGTGAGCTGGCTATAGTTTAGCTCAGTGACGTAGACATGTTGATGACAATTCAGGAAAAATATCAAATCTTGGTAGTAAAAACACCATTGACTCCTTCAGATTATATTTTTCATTTTATAAGTTTGTGACTTTTTATGAGGGATTCTTTCCCCTTCATTGCTGTCAGTCATGGTACAATTAGTAAGACAGTCAGCTTCTTTTCATCCACATGTGCCCAGGAATTTCTAGCCTTGGCTTTTTAATGTGGATTTCAGTTCTTATGCAGTCTTCTGTTGTACAGATTGCTGCAAAGGGTTTTTCCTAGACCTAGCTGGAGTCACTTCGAGACAGGAAGTAATTTGGTGCTGATATGATGGGAATTTCAGTGATTGTCGTCTTTCCACAGCCCTGCCCTCTTTTACAGTCACATGTGTAGGGTTTGGAAATTGAAGACCATGAGCAGTGGTGGTGGCCACCTGGGATTTCTGGAAAAATCCAGTTGTTTACAGGGCTTCAGGAGCTCGCTAAGGATACGTTCTTCAGACTAGAGGCAGGAAGAAACCTTTTCTCCTGCTTGTCTGTCTGGCTTGGTAGGGCTATTATTTTTATCTGAATGTTTATTCTTTAATGCTTGTGACAGACTGTTCTGTTGCTTGCAGGGAAGAATGTTATACACAGTGTATGTTGTGAAATGTGACATTAAACAAATGTGAAAGTCTGCTTTCTCCCATCTTTCTCATTTTTCCTTTCATTTCTGTCCAGTTGTGACCACCCACTGTATTAAGTTCTTGCTCTTTAACTCTGAGACATACTTTAGACTATTGGGACAGTTTTGTTCAAGGAATATGCAGAGTCTACTCTGCATAATTCTAATGCTACTTATTCATGGTGGCCTAGAAGAGAGAGAGCTGAGACTAGTCAGGAGGAAAGTACAAAGGTGAAAACATGGTAGGCTTTTAACTAGACCACATCGAAGAGAAGCCCAGGTGTTACTGAAGGTACTTTTGATTGATCAGTAATATATCTCGGTAGTGTGAACCTTTCACTTTGGGAGAGATGAACAAACATTTTGGCATATCTTCCCAAGACAATTGCTGTGTGATTGAAAAAGCATTGTTGTCATGCTAGTATATTCATAACCGTGAAAAATCAAAGAAAGACGGACCTTTCACCAGGTCTGGACCTCCCAGCAAGCTGACCTATTGCAACTCAATTTCTTAAGTTTGCTGCAGTGAGGAACATTTTGTAGGCAAAGAGTAGTTAAAAATGCATCAGTGTTTTGTGATGTAAGGGTGGGTTGTAATGTGAATTTTACTTCAGATAACATGCCATAAGTCTTTATCATTTATTTATTCATAACTTTTCATGTACATGGCCCTTCACAGGCTGCAACTTCGGACAGTTATTTTACTATTAACATAATTTTTATTCGATATATGGCTTTTATTCTTCTCAAACTGCTATTTAGTGATACATTTTAAATATGACCTAATAAAAAAAGAAAATTATATTAACTGGTTTTAAGTTAATATGAAAACCAGTTCAGCAATCTCTTCTGCTGCAGCTTCATATGATAAGATGGATGAGGGAAAAGACTTGGCTAAATGTCAATTAAGTGCAGATACCTAAAGCTCTAGTGTCCTTGGCTGCTTATAAGTTCAAGAAGTATCTGAGGCCTTCTGGTTGCACTTGGAATCCTTACTTTAAGTAGGGAGTGAAGAAGTAAGAACGGAGAAAGCTGCTTCTTCCAGTGATCACCATCTTGATTCCCTCACAATGTGACTTTGTCACCAGCACATTAAACTGACAAGGGAGCCTCTGCTGTACTGAGTGATTTTGGCTTTTTTCCTGCATTAAGAAAGAAAGCATTGGGCCATATTATGCAACTTAAGAAAGTCTATGCATTAAATATCTGTATCCTTTTGAATAAGTGAGACCAATAATTCTATTCTTGCAGGTAGAATGCAAATATAATAACTTTTCTTTTAATATATTAATTCAGTAAGGAGATTAATATAAGCTTCCAAACTTCTTAGTCAAAATCTTTATTCTCTCAGCAGAATGCAATACAAATACTACTTGGATGCTGATAGTAAATGAACTGTTCTATTGAATAGTCGTAATGAAATATTGGAGGCTGGTGTGTGATAGTTCTTATAAAGAGTACATTCAAGGAAGACTTTGTAGAGGAGGCAAAAGAGGGCAGAAAACTTCTGTTTCAAAAAGAGAAAGAAGTGGTTGTTAGTGGAGCAGTGGCAGCTGCTATTATAGTCTGTTGGTACTCCTGACTTCCAGTATGGTTTGGAATAAAATTCTTACCTTCAGGCACATAATTTATTAATACTCTGTTGCAAGCTTAGGAATCAGGGTTATTATGAATGATTAATACTACTTTATTCAAAGACTGATATATCTTTTGCAATACTGACTAGTATGAGCCTTTTTTTCCTTAATTTTCAGTCTGTGTCTCAGTTTACAGTAAAATTCTTTACACCTGAAATAATGATCAAACTAATCATCAGGGGAGCCAAGAACAGGTCAGGTTAGAAGGATCTCAGAATGTCATCTAGCCCAGCCTTCCACTCAAAGCTGTGTGAGCTATGAGGGCAGAACAATTAATTCTTAGCACTTCAAAATAATATTTTGTTATCTTTTGAAGTCTTTGTGTTATCCTTCTAAATCATGGGCTCTCTGCTATATATTTTTGCACAGAATACAGAGGTTGGGACTTTGAGCAGAAGTTTAAGTAGAAGCTCTTTAATAGTCTTCCTTAGAGACAGAATTATTTTTACAGAGACCATCAGTAGTGTCAAACTTTCTCCAGCTATGGAAGCCCTGCTGACAATCCGGTGTTACTTTCCAAATTTTGCTTTGGGAAATGGTAGCTCTAAATATAGAAAATGTTTTGGTCAACCATTTGTTACTGGACTTTTTTGTTATTTTTCGAATGGTGGTACAAAAATTCTGGTTTTGTAGAACATAATGAGGCATTTTGCTGTTCTTTTACTATGGCTCATCAGGAGTCCAGAATAGAGTGCTCTAATTTTTCATGTATAAGTCTTACGTTTATGTCTGTGGAATCCCTGATTTTTTTTCCCTGCCCAATTGCTCAACAGTTTCTTTCTTAGTTAATTTATTTTTGACATTGAATATTGTCTCTCTCTCTTTTTCTTTTTTTCCAGTGTGACAATGCAAAAGGACTCAAAGCCTTCTATGATGCAATAAAATATGGACCTAATCATCTGATGGTATTTGGTGGTGTATGTGCAACAGTTACTTCTATCATTGCTGAATCTCTAAAGGGATGGAATTTGGTTCAGGTAAGGGATGGAATGGAATATATACTAATGCTGACTGTCTTGTGTCTCTGGATTTAAAAAAAAAAACAACTAGAAACTTAGGTTTGGGTTTATAAGGCTTAGCATTTTGTGTAATTTTTATGTTTCAGTTTTGAAGGCCTGTGAAATGATGTGTAAAGATTAGTTACTTGTATGTAGTGCTGGATTTTAAGGCTTGGCATTTCATTGTACTTGAAAACACTTGTCTGGGGCATCAGTAGTGTCTCAGTGGGTTAATTAAACAAAAATAATGTGTTTCAAAACAACCTAGGTGAAACCAAGTTCAGGCATGGTGGGGGGCAAGCCTAGGACTTTTGAAAAGTTAGAAGAAGCAACTCATCAGGCCTTAAATTATGGTACTTCAGGGTATTCATTCAGTCTGTACTCAGTCAGAATGCAGTAATTCCTATGCACTTTAAAAGTGCTGGGAGTGCATAAATTCTAAATAGTGACTGGGTTCATGTCTCAGTATTTGACTCACGAAGCACATTTATTCCCAGTTGTTCTTCTTTCTTACTTTCTCAAAGGTCAAGTTTGTGGAAAGGTTTCCTCTGCTGAGGAATCAGAATTTATTAATACTAATCTCTAAAATGCAGATGATAACAGCATGATTTTCTTCACTTATTCAATCATCTGACTAGTGATAATTTTCAGATGGATGGCTGATCATAGCCTGGCTTTCTACTCAATATTCATACTGCCCAAAGATTGCTCCTGTATATTTTTTTTTCTTAAAAATTCCAAATTATTCTATAGCAAAATAAAAAATATATAACAATTACCTGAGGTTACAGTTACAAACAGGCTCCCCTTTTCCACCTGGAATACTCACTGAGAGTAGTGCAGCAAGAACAAATGAGGCATAATTAAGTTTGTGAAGAAGATGATGATCAGAGTACAAATGGGAAAATCTTAGGAGGATAATTAAAGTAGCTTGTTAACTGTGTTTGCAATGCCTGTCAGATCAGATTTTTTTTTCTTCTGCTTTGGGATCTTTTTTCTGATGTAAAAAACAATTCCTCTGTGGAAACCAAATAATGGGTCTCTGGGGAGAATGAAGAAAATAACAGAAAGCTTGAATCTAGCCTTTAACACTCTTAAATTGGACTAGTTCATGACCTATAATGAAGTATGTGGCCAGACCTCTGTTTTTATTTTTTTAATTTGTCACATGGAATTTCTGTATGATGTAGGATGTTTTAAGCAGCTGGATTTCATCGTGCTAAAAATCTTTTCATTTGTAGTCAAGTTCTGCCTGATACAATCTGGAAATCAATTTGTTCATGAAGTTGCTCAGCCTGAGGAAAATTGACTAGAAAGCTTTTAAATTCCTGAATTTGTCAATATATATGTTCAATTATATGTATTGTATGAAATATTGCTACCAGAGAGCATTTATTTCTCTGTGCTCAACTGCTATGGCTGTGACTATGTCTTAAACATTACTTATGATATCAGTTCATCAAGGTATTCCAGACTGCTTGGGCTTAGTATCCTGTAAATTCTCACATGGCAAAACTGCTCTTTATCTCAGGTTTTTATATCTTGGTTGGCTGACTGATGAAAAAAACCACAAATAACAGCATGGCTGGGAAGTGTGGCAAGGCTAAGTAAATGGTATAGCAGTAATGGCAATAATCTAAACATTGTGAAGGTGTTATGTCATATAGTGACAGCAGTCTGTGTATCTGCAAATCAGCAGATGTAGCACATATAAGATAGCGGGGAAACAGAGTACAAATCCTTCCACTCCTCAGGATCCACTGTCATAAGTGTCTCTGATTAAATGCATAACTTGAACAGAAGGAGAAGATAGAAATCTGTAGTACCCAGAAGTGGAGCAATAATATTCAGCCTGATAAGATACAAGGCTGTCCTCACTCAAAACTTGAAACTTCACCTCAAGGAATCACAGCAGACTCACATAAATTGTTTTATGAAATCATGATGATGATGAAGTCATTTCATGTTGAAGTCAGGAAGAGCAAAAAGAGCACAGAGACAAAAACTAACCTGACATTGTATTATTGAATAGAGAATTTGCATTTGGATGTCTGACTCCAAAGCTTTGTCCCTGTCCTTGTGCCTGCAGTCATGAAAACAAAGCTCTTAGCCCTTAGGCAGGAACATTTGATTTGATTTACACAGGTGTCATGAGGTTCAGCAAAGTGATGACTTCCTTACATGCAAGAGAAATGCGGGATGATACTGGTAGTCTGGGGAAAGGTAGGGATGAAGGAAGAATAACAGAAGATAACAACTAAAAGAAAAATTACTTTCCTGAGCAAATTCATTATGAGGCTTGCTTGACAGGTGTCACTGACGGCCTGCAACAATGTGAAATAGGGAAGATTATAGAGGTTGAGAAAAGTCTTAGTCTGAAGGTGACATATATTATTTCCATGTCATATCAAAAACCAGATACTTTTCTTTCTCCATCTTGACAAATTCCGATTTAGTTATGATCAGCAGTAGAAAGGGAATTTGTGTTCTCAATTATCTGCCTTCAAACTGCTGGCTGATTTAATTATCTCTTACAGTAACAAAATTAATTATTTTTTAATGGAGCATTTAATATCTGTGAAAGGAGCAAGTTGTTTTAGTCTGCAAAGGTTTACGTCATCCTGAAGGACTTTCACTGAGCTATGCTAGGTGACACAACTTGGAAAATATTTTTTGAACAGATGTTCTTAGTAGGACAAATGCAGGCACCCATTCCCTAGCCTCTCAAATTAAAAGCTTCTCCGTGGGTAATCTCTGTGTGCCAGCGGTCCTTTGTTGAGTGACAGTCTGAATATGGGCTGGAGGCTGCATGTGCGTCTTTGATCTCCAGGCTGTGGAGTGGAATCAGTTTGAACCTTTGGCATTTTAGTTTAGAAGTGCCAATAATATCCTGTGCCTTTGAGGTGGGCCTTAAAGGCATGAAGGCATAATACTGGGCAGTTGCTGTTCTGTAGGGGGAATACATCAATGTCAAATTGTTCCACATTAATCTTATCCCCATTCTCTTTCAATGTGTATTCAAGGCAATTAAAGAGTGAAGAAGAACCATGAAGAGTATCTCTTAATATCTTACGAAAGACAAGTTATGTATTTTTGTTCTGTACATCAAAGCATTCCTGCTAGTATCCAGTTAGTGTAAAATGGAGGAGATAGTTAGCTATTCACTTTTTGTCTTCTATTTCAAGTATATCCATCAACTGGTATCCCCATGTGAATTTCTTACAGTGGCAAAAGTATATAAAAATATCTATATTTTATATAGATTGCCGTCTCTCCTGTTTTTCATTGTCATCTCTCACTTTTCATAATTGTTTTGTTAACATAAACATTTAATCAGCATGAGGATTTTGACCACACTGATCATCTCTCTTAGTCTGTGGAACTCCTTCTCAATTTTTGGAGTTTTGTTTTTCTTCCAAAATGCCATTGACGTTCTCTTACAGCCTGCTTCGTTTACGATTTCATTTAACTCTGGAAATAAGCTTCTGCCAGAAACAACGTATAAATGTTTGTGCTTCCTCAGAATATCCTCTGTTTCTACATATTTTATGTAATCTAGTCATAACTGCTGGCTTCTAGGCAAGTAACTCCTTCAGGCAATACAACGATTAGATCGTAATGACATTCAAAACTGAGGAACCTTATTTTGGATTCAGCATCTCATGTTGGAAAGTTTTCTAACAAAATTATAGGTATCCTAATCATGATGTATTACTGCTCACTCTTGGGCATATTAATATAGGATGAGTTCCTGTGTTAGAAAGGGGTGTTGGAAAGGGAAAATTCCTGGTTCTCAGCTCATGTGATTGGATATTAAAGAGACTACCTTGAGATTTTATTGTCCCAGAAATCCATAGGTATTCAAGATCCCCTCTCTGAATTACTGAACAGGCTGCTGGTATTCAAGAAAAGCAGTGATGTTTCTAGCTTTTGGTTTCCTACTGAAACAAGGCTGATGTGATTGCACTGTCAGTTCCTCCTAGTAATTTCTGACCACTGGCCAATCACAACCTAGTTTTACAAGGGATTTCCCAAAGATTGTTAGCTTCTATGCATTTCTGTGAAAATGAGCTTCTGTGGACAGGGATCCATATGAATGAAGAAGAGGCTGCAACATGAGCGTAGAGAACTTAAGGCCAGCCATAATGTGTTGTTCTCCATATCCAACTGCTGTTTATGGAAGGGGGATTGACTGGATGGAGAAGATGCTTAAAAAAACAGCAGAAAAAAAAAATATGAGGAAACAGAGAGGAAGGGTGAAACACAGAAGGGTATGAAGCAGGAGCTGAGGTATGTGTTTTTATGTTTGTAGAAGCCTAGGACCCACGTATCTGTAAGAAAGCAGGGTTTGTTAGGTGTCTCATCAGAATTTTTGTTAACACAGAATTTCACAGCTATGTTCAGGTTAAAATGATGTGGTTTAACACAAAAGTACTGCAAGTCATCATAGAGATTTCTTTTGGCCACTGAATCAAATTTCTTCTTGTTAATATCAGAATTTTCTGAATGCTTGTACTTGTTACCTGGAGCTCCTGCATGGACACATAAACATTTGATAAAAGAATGTGGTATTTTCTTTTCTTTTTAGCTTTCTTCATCATGTTTATTCCAGTACAGTGAGTTTGTGCTACTTTTGACTTCACTGCACAATTTTAATGTATTAATAGTTTAAGTAATGAAAAGGGCATTTAAACTAGTCTTTGGCTAAGAAGATTAGCTACTTCTATCTATGTGATGCAGGCAGTCCCTCTTGAAGAGGTGTTTTCCCACTGGAATAAGACCCAATGTGCCAACAAACTAGAATCTTTGTCTTTTTGGCCCATACATCACTATTGTAATATTTTTTTTTCTTCTTCTTTTTCTTTTTCCTTTGCTCCTTTGCTTTTCTATTTTTTTTTTTACTACTGGGACTGGAGGGATTTTATAGATTTTCTGTATTTGAGTTGTGCTTTTAATAGACAAAGTACGTGAGGGAAAAA